AATAGGGATGTAACGATTCACCGCGAGCCAGTTGAAAATCTACTAATATGTGACAATTCAAATCGGTTTTGATGTTAAACGAATCGCGATACAGTTGGGGGTAGGAGCATAGACTGTATAAAAACATAGACGTAGTGTCAGTGACATCACCCGTAGGTTTCTGAGGAGCATTTTTGAAGCCCAAAATGGGCGGAGCTGGCCGTCGCCAAGATACTCCTAAATAATCGAAAATGGGCAAAGAGGTGGGACGTGGGTGGAGCTGGTTGCTGAAATCATGCTCACTCTGTGCTCGACGGTGGTGACAGCAGCGGCAATCCACCTGTCACTCAAGTGGCCACGCCCTTTTAATTATGCAGAACTTTAAGGCTTCATATATTTCAACGGATGAGTTATAAAAAAAAATTCACCCCCCTCACAGTTGTCATGAAGGGCAAAATTAGCTATATAGACCAAAACCACTTTTTGTACCAGGCTATAAACATATTTTTCTGCTGAAAAGTTGGGCATTTTAACATGGGGGGGTCTATGGGATTGACTCCCTTTTGGAGCCAGTCTCTAGCAGCCAGTCGATGAATTGCAGTTTAAAGGGGACCTATTATGCTTTTTCACTTTTTGAATTTTAGTCAGTGTGTAGTGTGTATGTTTGGGCATAAAAAAGATCTACAAAGTTACAAATCTCAAAGTCCACTCCACAGGGAGGTATTTCGTTTTTTTTTTTTAAATCCCATTTCAAGAACTACAACGAACGGCTCGTTTGGACTACAACGATGGTTTCCAGGGTTTTGTGATATCACAAAGCAGCCCATTAGAATATCATTCAAATAATTCCCGCCTATGGAAATTCGAATGGTTGGGGGGTGGGGAGGGGCGAGGTCACGGTTAAACGCTTGGTTAAGTGCATCAGACAAGACGACGACGAAGAAGAAGTGTTGCTACAGAGTTTGGGGCCATTCACACAGAACGCCTTTTTCCATTCCATTGCACTACTTTTCCATTGTTTTTCTATGTAAACACGCGCTTGACGGACGTACATGACCGTTACACTCGCATCTCGTGTCTTTTGCAGCGCCGCGTTTTTAAGACAAGTTAAAGGAATTTCAACTTGCAGCGCCACTCATCAATGTCAGTTCCAAAGCAGTGGACCAATCAGAAGAATTTGAAGGCAGGGCAAGCGTTGCGAACTTCTGTTTACAATAGCAAGTTGGCATGACAACTGTTTTATTTGACGGCAACATGGCGGAGGAGGCGCTCATAGTGCCTGTGTCCGGATACCCTGAATTATATAACGTTTCTTCAAGCGATTATCACAACTTGTTCCTTAAAAAAAGAGCTTGGAGAGAAATATCTCTGTCACTGAATATCTCTGCTGAGTAAAGTATTTTGTTATATTTTTATTGACGTTATTGCATCATGTCTCAAAAGCGCGTCTCGAGACCCTTGCGTTTTATGCTGCGCTTTTTTTAAAACCATTCCTGAGTGCTGCGTCTCACGTTTTTAGACGCAAAGACGCGTTCTGTGTGAATGGCGTGGCAGTACTGAAACACCGTCTAAGCTGTTCACCAATCACTACGCACTGGGACAGCTAACCAATCACAACACATTTGGGAGAAAGGTATTGTAATAATGTAAATTATGTAAAAAAGAATGCATTTTTCGAACCACTAAGCATGAGAGCATGTTCTAGTACACCCCCAAAACAAAATCAAGACTTTGTAAAAGAGCATAATAAGACCCCTTTAAGTCACTTCCGTGTTGGTTTCAAGAGAGAGACCGGAAGGTTGCCGCTTGGGTAGGAGTTTATATGAATGCATCTCTGAGGGGAACTGACTCTCTTTAGAAAAGTTTAGATGATATTTTCTTTTCATATCGTCTCTGTATAATGCGTATTAAAGCAGCGTTCATTAGCGCTGGACTGTTTTGTTTACAGCCAAGGAAACCAAGGAAACGCTGTATTACTGCTGTTCCATAAGCGCCCCCTGCTATCAGAGAGTGAAATTGCATCTCATTCAGCCCGTCTGCTGTCTTTATTAAAACTAAAGTCAGAGCATTCTGTTTTTGTCTTAAAATTTCTAATTATACAATCTAATTTAGATATAAAAAAACTTTTCATGCTGCATGTATTCAGCATCTTTGTTTGGATTGTGATTCAAATGCTGTGGTTGCCTCTAATTTTGAATGGAAAGAGCACAGGCAAAGCCTTTGTTTATATAAAGAGGTTTTTTGTCTCATTTATTTGATTAGATTTGGGGTTTGTTTTAAAATTTCAATTTAGTTTTGTTATTTGACATTTCTGTTCCACAAAGAAATGTGCAGCATTTTGTCCAAGCAATAAAAAAAGGACACCTTTTCATTTATAATTTGTCTTAAATCTATTTTGTTTTAAAAAATCGTGAGAAAATCGAATAGTGAAATCAGTATCGTGAGTTGTGTGAATCGTTACATCCCTATAGTTTATGAATAAATATAATCATGTAATAATTAGAAAATAATTTATTTTACAGAAAAAATCCCTGCAAGGTTACCCGTTAACATGCAGACAGCCCAGCCTATAACTATAAGTCTTTAGAAAGATTTTATTATAAAATGGTATACTATTATGATAAAAAAGAAGCCCATCCATGCCTTTAATATGAAATATGAGCCTTTATGCATCCACTGTAAAAAAAACAAAAAAAAAACACCTGTACACTGGAGAAAGGGCAATAGGGTGGTGTGAGCATTGCTGAGTGCTAAACACATGTAATGTCTGTTTCTTTCGTACTCGTAGCCAGAGGGCGCCCTGACGCAGAAACTTCAAATATGCCTCACAGAAGTAATAGATGTTCATGGAAATCTATCACGAAAGTGATGCTAAAACAAATTCACATTATACTTATGAAAATACCAGAGACTGCATCAAGAACTTAGACAGATCTATGCAAACCAAACTATCACTTCAATGCATTGATAAAGCCTTTGAATTTTTTTGTATCCATCTCCTGACCACAACTTTATCCCAGAGATCTTTTGACAGTGCTTTGCCACCCATACTTGACTTTGCTTAAGTTACACTACCAAGGACTGAAATGCTCGAGGAAAGCTCTTTTCATGCTGAGCTAATCAAACTGACCACAGCTGATCACAGTTGAAAGTCAAATGGCTTTGTGTGCCATTGAGAAGGTGATTAGCTACACCTGATTGAGTTTACAAATCATTTTTAGGAGGGGGTGATCCTTTTTCCAACTCAATGATTCTGTTTTTTTATTTTATGACATTTTGCTGTTCTATCTTTCACTTGGATGTTATAAGTTGCACTGAATAAATACAGCTGGATAAAACAAGAACTGTGTCTGTCTTCATTTCAGGCTGCAAAGCAACAAAATGTGATTATTTTAAAGGGGG